TAAGGCACTTGTTACTACTAGCGATGCACTTGTTCCTAGTAGCTTCTTGTTACTACTAGTAAGGCACTTGCTACTACTAGCGATGCACTTGTTCCTAGTAGCTTCTTGTTACTACTAGTAAGGCACTTGTTACTACTAGCGATGCACTTGTTCCTAGTAGCTTCTTGTTACTACTAGTAAGGCACTTGCTACTACTAGCGATGCACTTGTTCCTAGTAGCTTCCTAGTAGCTTCCTCCGGTCCACGGTCGCCCGCTCGGTCGCCGTCGCTCCGCTCGCGCGCCTCCGCCGGCGCGGGTCTTCGGGAGCGCAGCGCGGCGTTCCGGAAGCGCTCCTGAGGGCGAGAGGGCAGCCGCGGTTGGTGTTTAGTTGTTTCTGATGACTTTGAAGAAACGGATTGTGACTTTGGTGCAGGTTTACGTCTGGAGTGGTTTCTGGTGACTCTGGTTTGGTCTTAAGAGGAGGATTTATGTAGGCCCCAGTAGGTGGAGGAACGCTTGTTTTTTGTGGTTCATCTGTATATAAGTCAAGTTGACCTAAAGAGGAAGTGATCGAAGTGTTCTGCAAAATGCAGAGCCTTAGGGAGTTGAAGGGGAGGAAACCCGATGGGCAACATCTACCAGCATCCTCCAACAGGCCACCCATTATACCATGGAGAGACTTGTGGGAGGGTGCTGGTAGTCTACCCTCACCAAACATTAAACTCTCTTGTGCTCAATGCATCTCGCGGCTTTTGACCAAGGTCCGGTGATGTTTTCGTCCAGCCTGACCGTCCGGTGTAAGCTGGTGCAACCTCGATGTTTTGGGTCGCAGCACCCCCGGCGCCATGCCTTTATGCATGCCTTTAGCTTTCGTTGTGTTGACGTCACTGGTACTTGCAAACGCTCTTGATGCTACGCCATGCCCAGAGAGATGTAGCACTTCAAATTGAAATGCAAAAAGTCAGACGAGTCCTGCGAAAACTTAAGTCGTATCCAAAAACTGTTCAAAACTGTTGCTAAACACCCCAAAAACGCACCTTCCGAGCAACCCTTTCAGCACTTTCACCTCCTCCAAAACAACAATGTCGGTAATAAGAACACGTCAAAAACGTGGAAAATAAGCAAATGCCAGCAATCAACAACTTGAAAAACACACACACTCAAGCGCACGTCCCCCTTACGGGCGCTTGAGAGAATGGTATCAACTCCAGTAAAATCAGTGCAAAATGACCTGCACAATTATATTGTATTAAGCCAACAATCAATGACTTGCTAATTGATTTCCTGAAAAGTTGATCACACTTTTATAACCTCCGTTCCAAGAACCTCCCACAAGCTGACTGGCCCCTGACCACCGACCATGCCTGGTCGTGCAGGCACTTGAGCAACGCGCATGTCGGGAAGTCCAATGCCTGTAGCAACGGCGTTCAGCGCCGCAAAAAAAGAAATCCGAGCAGGACAACACCGGTAGCCAGCGGCCGCTAAAAAGTCCCCCACGTTCCAGGTTCACAGGACAATCTCTCTCTCTCTTTCTCTCTCTCTCTCTCGCTGGGATGTTGGTCTACCAGTGGTCTACACTGGCCCAGGTGGTAGTTCTGCGGCTAAAAAGGTTTTCCTTAGGCCCATCATCTTGCTTCGGTGGAAGCTGAACCCCCAATCACATGCAACAACTGGGTCCTTGGATCCCTCCGTTTTTGGATGGTCGAACGGAGGCGAGTAGGTACGAAACCAGGTCGAATGGTCAAAAGGCGAGCGGCACGGACGCCCAACGGATTGTCCACGGACGCCCACCTCCACGGGATGGTTTCACTCCACTCGGACATGTCAAGCCGAATGAGAAGAGAAGTGGATGGCTGGAAGGTTGGTCGACGCCAGCAGGTTGGTCGGATTTCAGGGCTCAGAAGGGCTCAGAATTCGACCCCAAAGCCCAACGATCGACAAGATGTTGTGAGTCGACACGTTGTGTGGGTACCCCGAAGCATGTCCAAGCTGCGTGAGGCTCAGTCAAAAGCCTCAAGTTAATCGACTCGCATAGAGTTATAGAGTCGCATAGAGTTTCTGAAATTCAGGGGTCGGTCGGAAATATGACTCGAGACTCTCAACCTAGAGCAGGGCCCTCCGCTTTTTTGACACTCCAACCACATCCTGACAAGGGGGCCGAACTACCTTCTGAGGATGCGGGAGCCGTGTCTTTTTGGAAGAATCCACTTTGTTTCAACCACTTCTTTGAAAACTGAATGAAGGAAGCTATCGAATAGTCTCACTCGGCTAAGGGGCCAAGTCTCATGTGGGGCCATCCTCAGAAAAAATGAAAAAACAAACAGCTTCTTGTACTAGTAGTAAGAATGCTACTAGTAGTTATGCCCTTTGCTCCTAGTAGCTTCTTGTTACTAGTAGTATGGCCAGGAGCTACTAGTAGCTTCTTGCTCCGTTCCTAGCGATGTCCTTTGTTCCTATAGTAGCTTTGGAAATGGTACTGATCAGGTTTGGATATATCGGATAGACTCTATCTCTGGTCTACAGGTCCAGCCTGACTCCGTACAGCCTGGTCCTGAAAACCTCATTGAGTTGGTTCTCGGCCAAACTGACCGTTTGAGGCTATTGAATAATGCTTCCACATGGGAAACCACAGGATTTGGGTTGCTCTGTGACTATCCAAGAACACCTATAAGAACACTTCTCCCCACACTGTCTTTTGAAAACGCTTCGTGCTAAGCACACTGCTCTTGTCCGCTGTCTCCGGTGGAACAGATTCCCCGCACGACCAGTCCCGGTCGTCCGGGAGTCGTCCCCACCGCCTGGCACGTTCACAGCCTGGCGGATCGCCTGGGTTGGCGTCATTGGCGAAGCGACCGACCGGCCTGGAGCGGTTCCGACGCTGTCCCTTGAAGCTGGAAACAATGAAAACACATTCCACCATGAAGGGGATTTGAATGGATTTAACATGATTTAACCAGGGAAAAGAAAGGAACATATGGGAAAATAAACAATCACCATAAGCAACACCTGAAAAATCATGGAAGCATTTAAGCATACCCTGGAGCCGGTCCAGGACCGGGCCCAGAAAAACCTCATTTCGAGTCATGTTTTGGTATCATCGACTCTAGTTTTATTCGAGGTCAGTTCCTGACCTGTATAGGCTGTATAGGGATACTGATGATGACTGCAAATACATTCCACTATAAATACATGGAGTGTCTGCCGAAAGAGTGACTCAGACTCCATGCTCCACAAGCCTGTGGCCTGTGACAGGTACCAACGAGTCTAAGCTCGTTTGCCCAATGCCGCTGCCAAGATTTACCGCCGTGGCCAGAATCTTAAGCTGCCTCAATCGTTGTTTGAGACTGACATACGAACAAACAATCTCAACCATGCTCCAAACAAAGGGTATTTCCCAATTCTCTGTACACAGGAGCAGTCTTCCGCTTCCCTCGCAACCCATGACTAGGTCATTCCCCATGTCACGCATGCTTCATGTGTGCTGCGACGACGTGCCCAACAAACGCGCGTTGCGCCCCCAAGGGGCGCGTTGAGGCCTTTTCCGACCGCAACTCGGACGTGCGCTCCGGTGGTGAAACCTAGACGACTGATATCTACGCGACCGAAGGTGTCGGTCCGGGCCCCGGTGACGTGGGGCGTGATGGCCACGCGTCGCTTTCACTGAAGACTGACACAAGCAGTTGTTCCCTGCCTCTTTGGGGGGCCGCCATAGCAAACAAAGGAGGATACACTCAAGGTTTGTTGATTCAAAACGTGAACTGCCCGCAGCAAAAAACAACCTTTTGCGCCAAGCAGGCCCAATCTACTGGAACAAACTTGAAGGAATTTTGAGTCAAGGGAAACTTGTGACTAAAATGCCTACAGTTGTCAGCCTTCCCTGATCTCTTCTTTGCACTTTGAGGCCAGCTAGCTTGTCGTGCTCACATGCCGAAAATGTCCAGATGCTTCAGGTGCGTTGATTCTTCCCAGTGAGAGCCGGGATATGACTCATGACTTAGGATAAACTAGTAACAAGAAACTACTAGTAGCCAAAGGCATCGCTACTAGAAACAAGGGCATCGCTATTAGTAGTTATATTTAGGAACAAATTTTCGCCGCATCTCCGGTGAACCCCATTTTGCCACCGTCACTCTCGGCCCGGAGTCCCCAAGCTTCCCGCGTGGCACGCGGTGGCTGAAGACCACCGACGAAGACCCACACAAAGCGCCGGCTCACCACTTGCCTTTGCCACCTGCTGAAGGTGAGAGAGGTGAATGCTACATAAACGTGAGAAAACGAAACACATCAGTAGGCATCGCGTGTTCAATAACCTAGGCAAGTGCAAGCTGGACATGATTTTTGCAAGGTCATCTGAACCACATGTGGACAAGAAATGTAATGTGGAGAACGATTCAAGAAAAGGTGTTGGTACACTTGCACTCTGCAGGCGCCATACATAAAGCATTGATGTGCCGAACAAGCAAGTCAACTCGCAAAGAAGCCAAACGATGTTTCACTTGATCGACGATATGGCTGATAATCTTGAGCGTTGAAGCTTTGAGGAAAGGTAGTGATCCACGCGGCAAGTCTAGTAGTGACAAGTCACTGGGCCGCACTGATACTTTGGGATGAACAAATGTGAAATGCACACTGGAGTCCACCTGGCCTCTTGCTTGACAGATACTCACTGACCCAACTTGGGGAATCTTGAGGAGAGTTCTAGAGTCGAACCATTACGCATCTGGATGTAGCTCCAAAGCTCAAAAACACAAGCCCACACTTTTTAAACATCTTTTCCTTCACCAATGGGTCCTGGCAGGTATGCACTTTTCCCTACCTGCCAGGTGAGGGTTGTTAGGTTTTATCAGAGCTCTTCTCTTCCTCCTTCTCCTCTTCCGCTTCTTCTTCCTCCTCCTCCTCCGCCGCACCACCTCAACAGCAAGCTGCAGTGTGCACTACCGGACCTCAACCGCAAGCGTCAGATCGCAGTGGGCACTGGCTGGCGGAACTCAACACACAACACAACACATAACCAGATACACAAACCACAAACACACAAACCACGGCACACAGAACCAAACCACAGAACACAGAACCACAACACACAACCACAGCACACAACCACAAGACGCAGCCACAACACGCAACCACAACACTCAAACAATCACAAACACACAACTACAACAATATAACTACCTGTGTTTGTGCGGCGTTTTTGTGTGGCAGGTAGTCACAGGGTAGCGCTTTTGGACGCCAACTGGGCAGCCTGGCGACACCCCGACGCGAACTCCCTAACACGCAAATAAGAATCAGGACCCACAAGCAAAATCGAAAACCACGCAACATGCTTCTCACCACGGCATGAAAACATATGATTGACATGTCATGGTGGGGATCACTCGAAGCAGAACCATGGCTCATGTCGGACCGGAAGGGAAGTTCAAAGCGGCTGGTGAAGTGCTGGGGCGGCCTGGGGTTTGGGGGCAGGAGCTCCTTAACAGTACATGGGAAAAAAACATGTATGAATCGCCTGAATCGCTGACTTGTCCCAAAGAAGATCCTCCACCGCCACCATCAAACACACCCAAACGTCTTTATGAACCATTTGTAAGGTCTACACCCTAGCTTGGCTTAGATCAGTTTGGTCAAAACATGTCAAAACTTTTTGTTACCCCTAAAGGACATTGGCTTCATTCAGCTGAGCCGAAGCACCAAGCTGGTGAACCTGTTCTTTGTTGCCACTTCGTCTCCAAGGCACCTTTGCCCCAGGGCATGGCAGGCATGCCCCAGTCACCTTTGCCTCAATGTACGTTAATCTGGACTCGGCGTGGTCCCCATTCCAAGAGACGGGAAGAGAGAAAGTCAACATATAGTCTTTTGGGGGTTTGTGCTCTTTGTGTTTGTTTTATGTTTTTGAGAGAAGACCACGATGAACAACAGTTCGGAGATGAACTCCAGCTATCTGCTCTCCACGACCGTTTGCAGCTTCGGAGTAGCTACCTAGACCGCACAACATTGAACACTGTTTGGATTTGATAGTTCTCAGGTCAAGAGGACGTTGGCATTTTTTAAACACTATTCTTGGTCCCCAGAAATAAGCCTCCCCCGCCAAAAAGTGGTCCTTCATTTCGCAGTGCTAGAGCTTTTTGTCCCGTACCCGCTGGCTTCCAAGGAACGTTGCCTGGCCACCCTGGCCCTGCTTTTGGGGGAAGCAAGGAATGAAGGTACTACTGTAGTAGCTTCTTGCTACTAGTAGTAATGCCCTTTGCTACTAGTAGCTTCTTGTTACAAAGCCCGCTTTCTCAAACATCCAGACCACTGAGCAATGTGTCAAAGGCCGGAAAATAAAGACCTTCGCCGACCCCCTTTCGCAATTCCGTTTGCAAGTCCGCATGTTTAACACATTTAGAATCTTATAGCCCTATATAGAGCTATAGAATTGACGTTGCTCAACGACTTGACGTGGCACCAAATATCCCTCCGATCCACGCCACTCCACACGCTTGCTGCCATCGAGTGTCCTCCACCTTTACTCGCTCCCTTGCTCCATGGCGCGGCGCCGCCGCCCTTGCTGCCTTTGCCACCCCACGATGAGTCGCCACCCCAGCTCCAAGAATCGCCGCCCCAGCTGCTCGAGTCGCCCCAATCGCCCATGGAGGCCTCGGTTTGGTGTCCTTTTTCTGTTTGGACACTCAGAACCCATGTGGATCCCAGTGGTAGACCTGATATCCCAGTGCTGATTCAAGTGATAGAAACACGCGAATCGTCGCGATCAAGGTACTGGAATCGGATTTTGGCCCGAGGCACGCGGGTTCCTCTCTGGCTCTCCGGATTTAGTTATAATGCATCTTTATCTTAATGAGACACATGCATAGATTCCAAAGACCTCCTGAGATGTTTCGGAGGCGATGCATCAAACACTTCGAACCGTCCATGGGAACGAAGTGCACCGGATGGGCACTGGCTCCGATTCGATTCCAAACGTCCATCTCGTTCGATTCGAAGGCTAGAAGCCATGGTCGCCATCATCGCCAGCATGCTACCCATGTCGCCCCAGCCGCCACCCTTGCCGCTACCTGCCCGCACGCTCTGGATGCTCACCTGTTGGGGGGGGGGGGGCTGATAAACACCTGACCAGTCAGGTCACCTGCAGTTCTTTTGGAGCACATATTTATAACAGCAAATTGCTCACTGGATCTCAGTGGGATTGAGGATTGATATTGAAACAAGCGCCCAACAGGCTCTGAAGGTGAGCGGTTGGCGGTCAAAAGGTGTCCGTACACATGTTGTTCCTCTTGCTACGAGCGATGCCCATTGTTCCTAGTAGCGTCCTTGCTCCTACTAGTAGCAAGGCCAAATGGCGTCCTCTAGCCCCTAGTAGCGAGGGGAACCCCTCTGTAGAGAGCACCTCAAGGGCACATTTCTCAAAACGGCAAACTCTGCACGGCAAACCTGAGGAATCCCACAAGACTTTACAATGCACCTGTGGAGTTTTTCATACTTTCGAGGCACAGCTGCCGATGACTTAAAGCAGTTAACCTGCGAGACATCAGACTTGCCCTCCACTAGTCCCAAAGCCCGCCCTGTGACATTGGTTTTCAGTTAAACTCAATTTCCCGAGAAAAGGAGTGGCTCAACGGCAAGGTGAAGAGTCCGGTCAAATTGAAGGTGTTTTCAACAAAAGGTTTGTGCGCATCTGCAGACTCGCGACAGCAGCGGACGAGCGGCGGACGGCAGTTGAAAGGCGGCTGTGGGAAAACCTGTTTAAGGGGTAAGAAACGTGAAAGGACCATGAACCAAAACGTGGAAAGTGGAGTCACAGCTTGTACAAAAGTTGAAGCAGGTACACAGGGATGATCAGTCCCTGCATCCTGGTCATCTGCATAGAGCTTCGTTGGCGACAGCTATGCAGCGACCCTGTCGCCCCCTGCCTCGTTGAGTGGTTGTAATGGAAACAGTGGCATTGAACCCTTTGGTACAGTGGGTGACACACACACGGCGCCGCTTGGCGGCGCCCGCGTGGAAAACCTGAATAGATACCTAAAAAGCCTTAGAAACAAAAGAAAGAAACACAGAAAGAGCAGCGCTAAGAAGGCAAGAGAGAAAGGTAGGTGTAGAAAAGAAAAATGAATACTTAGCCCTTGACTGGGGTAGGGAAACGAACCTCAAGAGCAACCTAAAAAGCCTGAGTGAAAGCCCAACAAACGACGGAAAGCGCAAGAAAGAAAGGGGGGGGCAGGGAGGGGGTGTATGTCCATGTGTGTGTCTGAATACTTAATTAGCACTCTAGGATTACTGACTACTTAGCCGAGACGAATTACAGTGCAATAGCTAGGGAGCGGGGCTTTAGTCTTAAACCGCCCGGGTAGAGTAGACTAGACAGGGACAACAGAGGGAAAGGCACCGACACACAAGTGTGTCGAGTACCATTTCCCTGTGTTACCCTAATTAGGTAGGGAGTAGAACACGATGGGGGGGAAGGGTAGGGAGACCTGCCTGGAGCGGGATGAGTTCCGTTTTTAAGCCCGGCGGCTTGTCAACTCCGTTTTTTGGCCCGGCGGCCGTGGAAGCAGTAAATTCAGTTAAGGTTGATCAAGTGGTGAATTCCTGTGAAAGGTGGAAGAGCTCAGTTACACGATTTCCCGAATGAAACGGCGCCTCCTTGCGGAGGATC